TGATGCCACATTCCACACCAATGTCTTGGTGAATTCTTCTGGACATTGCCAGTATCTTCCTCCAGGTAAGACCCATTTTCTTTGTCTTCTTCCAGTTGGAAAATTTAAGCAAGTAAATTAAGCAAATATCAGCCCAGTTGATGGCCCACCTGAGGGTCAACTGGCTCTTACATGCATCCTGCTTCCTCCTCTTCCCTTCTCTCTGTGCTTTCACGGTCCCCTCAAGACTGCCATCTTTCTCTTTTTTTCTTGGAATCCTGGCTCAAGTGGTCTTTGCCAGCATGTGCCGGGGGTTCTTATTTTCTGCCATGTGCTCTGTAAAGTCAGTCCATAATTAAAGCAAGTCTTCCTTGTTGGGGATAATCTCCAACTCTCTTTTCTACCCATAATCCAGATACTCAGGTCCTTTTGTCTCCATTTCAACATGTAAATCAGATAAACATGCCCTTTCTTCCCTCTTGTGACCCACAAGTCTGATATCCAAACCATTTTTTTCTCCCTTCCAACCAACAAATCAGACAATCAGGTCCCTTCTCCTCCACTTCGGTCCTCCACTTTCCTCGACTTCCTGTCTTGGCAGGCAGGTGTTCCAGGTGTTGGGGGAGATGGTGGGAGTGCTGCATGGTGTATTGAGTTCATGCATTCAAGAGCACTCAAGGGTTAGATGTTAGGTTCAGTGCTTTCTAGGGAGCTCATTACTGACTTGTTCCTGAACTAGTTTTTTTTTTTTTTCCTTTTCAGCTTTCTCATGGTGAGACACTTTCTGGGATAGACCTCCACCCCCCCATCCCCAAACCTATTATTTCTTGGGATTTCTAAGGCCCTAGGCTGTTCATTGAGTTATCCACAGCTTGGTAAATTCAGATTTTTGGCCTTGAGGCACAATGTGGATTGTTTTAGCATATGAATATTAACCAATCTTGGGTTTAGCTTTTAGAACTTTTTTTTTTAACATATTCTTTTCAAGGATTTTCTCCTATACTAACTGTCTGGTTTACTTAACTGCCTACTCAAAAGGAACCTGCAATTATCTCACTACCAGCTTGCACACACTCATACCACCCACACACAACCACACACACATCACATATTCTCACATTACACACACAGACACACACACACACACACACACACATACACCCCTTCAACAGTCTGCCTTACTCATTCCACTGCACATAGCAAAGTCAGCCAGCTTTGCTTTTTGGGTTGTTGTTTACATGCTCTTTCTGTCAGCTGATGATAAACATCCTCTAGACAGAATCTGTGTTTGCTCACCTTAGAATCCTTGGCTCCTCAACCATGTGTGGCCCATGTGGATGGATGAGTGACTGAATCTATCAAAGACATACACCTCCCTATAATATTTGTATAGATTGAAGAAATCTAGCTTTTCAGGTTTTCTGTCTTAACACAACTGTTCTTGGGCAATTCCCCCCATTTTTACTACCCTAGCCTTTCCTTCTGACAGTGGGTCCTCTGTAGACCGGATGTGGAATGCCTTCCAGCACATCTGAGTTCCTTTTCAACCGGCCTGCAAGTTATAGCTTCTGTTATGAGTGCCATTATAAGGGCCATTTTAGAAGATGGTGTCCAGTAGTCTCCAGGGTAGAGGAATATGTTGCTGCAAATTGTTCTTAGGACTGAGTTTATCTTCAGCTACCAGGGCAACACTCTGGACCCTCAAATCCTCTGAACGCAACAGACTCTGTGAGACTCCATCCTATGACCCTTCCTCAGTGGCCTTGGGAGTCTGGTCAGGACGGGACACATTGTGTTGTGACCTGGGACAATGCCTTACACTGGAAGGAAGGGTACAGAACTCCCTGTGCCTTGGGGTCATGTAGGGCTGGTTCTGGGACACTGCTCTGCCCCTGCTTAGTGATGCTTAGTGTTACATGGGTATAAAAGAGTGTTTTGGGTGTGGGTTTTGAAATAGAGACTTGATTATAACGTGACTTTTCCTGCTTCATTTTATGCATTTATTTTTAATAGCTTTATGGAGGTAGAATTTACATATCATACATTTTAAGTACATGATTCAGTGATTTTTAGTAAATTTAGAGTTGTGCAACCATTACCACAATCCCATTTTAGAGCATTCCCTTCCCTCCACAAAGATCTCTTTTGCCTATTTGCAGTTAATCCCCACTCCCACAGCCAGCCCCAGGCAACTACAGATCTGTTTTCTGTGTCTTTCTTGGATTTTTTCGTAGAAATGGAATTGTATAGTTATAGAATGTTTTAACTTGCAAATAGTCTGGGTTTGGGGGAATCCACACTACTAATGGAAGGGGAGTGTCAGTTAAGACTTCCAGATTCCTATAAACATTTGAAATAATGCTGCAAATCATGTTTAGAGGACCTTGAGGGGGCAAATAATTTATTATCTGTTCACAACTTGGCTGTGAGGTGAAGTCTGGGTTTTCAAGGCACTTTGAGTCCCTGCCTCCCTATGGTCTTTATTTAACTTGATAGTTGACATTTACAAAGTACCTGCCTTTCCCCACCAGCAGTGGGACACTTAAGCCAATCATGCCTTCTAGTGTTGCTCAATCTTCTCTGAGCAGGGAAGAGAACAGGGCATAAAAATAAAAACTAGAATGATTTCATCTTCATGACCTTCTGGGAAATTCACTTTCAACTTAACAGAGCCTGAACTTCCTCTTTCAGTGGAAACCCTTCCTTGTATTCTCTTGGGCTTACACCTGTCAGGTTTTGTTGTATTTTTATTTTTATTTTAATTGTAGATGGACACAATATCTTTACTTATTTATTTTTATGTAGTACTGAAATCGAACCCAGTGCTTCACATAAGCTAGGCAAGCGCTCTACCAATGAGCCATAACCCCAGCCTGTTGTTCTATTCTTGATCTAGAATCCTCCACATTTATTTCTAGATAACCACATATTTTCCCAATTGGTTAGCTAAATAAAATGCCTTCCCAGACCAAACATACCCACACAGAAATACATGCCCCCATACTTTAGATTCTTGAGCATTTTTATTAATTCCTTTGAGGGTTTTTTTTTTATAATGTTCTTTATTTTTCTCCTACTATTGAGTCTGATGCACAGAGCAAACACAAGTTTATAAAACTAATTTCTTTGCACAAAAAGCCCTGAGAAGTCTTCTTCAACAGAAGCTGTCATGGTTTTTGAATTTCAGAAGACAGTGAAGCTTTAGGTGAGCTGCTTGTCTAGAGGTTTGCAAGATAGATTGATAGATCAATAGATTGATCAATTGATAGATAGATAAAATATATACATTTTTTTTCTGGGTAGGTTTAGAAGCAGTTTGAAGGTGCAACATGGTCTGGAGGGACTGCTGTGTATTTTGAATCCATCTCAGTTGTCTTCCACTTCAGCCTTCTGGTTGTTTTCATCACTAACACAGGCATATTCAAGAGCTCCTGCTATATTGATGTGCGCTGGTTCCCCTTTGACGTGCAGCATTGCAAACTGAAGTTTGGATCCTGGTCTTATGGAGGGTGGTCCTTGGACCTGCAGATGCAGGAGGCAGATATCAGTGGCTATATCCCCAACGGAGAATGGGATCTCGTGGGTAAGCCCAGCAAAGACACAAGACTTGCAGCCTGGGGAAAAACAAAAAAAAAACCCAAAAAACTGCTTTCTTCCTGTTGAAGTTTAAAAGTTAGGGATTTTCCACTGACCTTTCCAGTGTGAGCATTTTTTGAACTCTGCAGCATTCTTCATCATTTACTGAGAGCTATAGGATGAGAAACCAACAACAATGAGTGAATCTAACACTTTCAGGAGGAATTTGCAGCTTGGTGAGGACATGTTTAAACAAGTCAGTGCTGGTGACATCTTCAAGTCCACGCCATTGCTAAAATATGATTGCACAGCAACTTTCAATCAACAGTGTGAATGTCATAAATGAGGTTCAGATAAAGTAAAAACAGTTTTATTCAGGAGCAAAACACATTTACAAATATTGGGAAATGGGTTTGGCTACACACTGAACAAGTCTGCTTAGGGATAGTTGAGCTTGGGGTTTATAACAAGAAGTGGGTATAAAAGCTTAGCATTTGGGGAAAAAGATCAACAAGATTGAGGCAACTCTAGTAGTTGGAAATGGATGCAAATCAGGGTGATCATAAATTTCATAGTCCATTGGATTGTCCAGCTCAGGAGGCAAACTGGTCATTGTAGCATTCCTCACATCTTGCAAGGAATTGTTAGATTCTGAAAAAATTGTTCCTTCTGTAAGATTCAGTTCTCAACATGAAATTTATCTTGCAATCTACCCTGTCAGCAAATCTCTAAGACTTAGAAAAACATTTTTTTTTACTACTCTGCAGTCATTTTCACTTTTATTTTATCAACAGCCATTTAAAATGGAAAAGCAATGTAGTTAAGATTCACTTAACACTGAATA